AGGTTTGTTAATTTTCTTATTGTTCAGTTTTAAGTGCTCTTTGTATGTTTTAGATAACAATATTTTATCAGATATGTCTTTTGCAAATATTTTCTCCAAGTCTGTGGCTTGTCTTTTCATTCTCTTGACAGGGTCTTTCACAGAACAGAAATTTTAAATTTTAATAAAGTCCAGCTTATCAATTTTTTCTGTCATGGATTGTTCCATTGGTGTTGTATCCAAACAGTCATCATCCTACCCAAGGTCATCTACCTTTCTCTTATATTATCTTCCAGGTCTTTTGTAGTTTTGTGTTTTATATTCAGATCTGGGATTCATTTTTGAGTTAATTTTTGTGAAGGGTGTAATATCTGTGTTTAGGTTATTTTTTCGCAGGTGGATGTCCTGTTGTTCCAACACCATTTATTGAAAAGACTATCTTTTCTCCATTGTATTGCCTTTGCTCCTTTGACACTGATCAGTTGGCTATTTTTATGTCAGTCTATTCTGGGTTGTCTATTCTGTTCCATTAATTTACTTCTCTATTCTTTTGCCAATACCATGCTGTCTTGATTATTGTAGCTTTATACTAAGTCTTGAAGTCAAGTAGTGTCAGTCCTCCCTTTTTCTTCAAATAATATATACATTTTAAAAATAATATGTAAGCATCAAATTGGCATATACTATTATTTATCCCTTAACAAATATTGTATTATACATGGAAGTTAATTTGGAGAACTTCCAGTTATATAGTCCTCACGAATATACATGGATTCAGACATATGCATGTGTTTTGAGAATCAGTTCATTATGATTCAATTTGCTTCAAGTCCAGCTCATGTTTCCAAACACTGAAATACTAAATATTCCTGTGTTTGGAAATACAAATTAAAATCACAATGAGATATCATCTCACTCCAGGTAGAATGGCTATTAGCAAAAAGACAGAAAATAAGTATAAATTTCCTCTGAGCACTGCATGAGCCCTGCATCCTATAAATTTTGATATGTTGTACTTTGATTTTTGTCTCAAATTTGAAATTTATCTCTAATTTTCCTGTGATTTTTCTTTTTACCCATTGCTTATTTAGGAGATGGTTGTTTAATTTCCATTTATTTGTTAGTTTTCTAAATTTCCTTCTGTTATTGTGGTCATAGAACATATTTTCTATGATATTAGTCTTTTTTAAAAAAAGGAAAAATTTAAACGAACAAAAGAAAGTTCATGGAAAGATTTCCATTATCTTTTGATTCTATTTTTCCACGAACTTTTTGAAGTGACCTTGTGTTTATATTCTGTTTTATTGAGTTTTTATGCAATTTATGTTGCCAAACATAGATATTTAATTTCTGTACTTGATTCCTTTTTATTAAGTGGACTTGTTGATTTGCTTAGAAATTAACTTGCCTTTGAAAAGTTTATTCATCTTTCTCTGTTGAAATTAAATTGTTATTTGCATGCTTCTGGAAGACTTTAGAGAGCTATTTCAAATAACTGTAGAAATTATAAAATGAAATATATAAATTTTAATAAGTTTTACATCTCCAGGTTTTGTGCAAATTTGAAGCCCTACTTTCTACAGAGTACTTCATTATTCATCTGTTACTCAGCTAATGTATTTGTTATTTGAACAAATAGATGTGCATATCCTTGTTTAAAAAAATTGATAAATGAAAGAAATACATAGAAAGAAAAGAAAAGAAACCAGACCTGTACCTCTCACCATATACCCAAATCAACTCAAAATGAATCAAAGACTTAAATATAAGACCTGAAACTAAAACTCCTGAAAAGAACCAGGGGAAACACTTCAGGAAGTAGGACTGGTCAAAGTCTTTATGAATATGACACCCAAAACACAGGCAACAGAAGGAAAAAGAAACAAGTGGGATTATATCAAACTAAAAAGCTTCTGCAAAAAAAGCTTTTGCAAAAAAAGCTAATGCAAAAGAAGCTTTTGCAAAAAAAGCTTCTGCAAGGGCCGGCCCGGTGGCTCACTGGATAGTGCGCCGCTTGGGAAGCGCGGCGGCGCTCCCGACTTCTGCAAAAAAAGCTTTTGCAAAAAAAGCTAATGCAAAAGAAGCTTTTGCATAAAAAGCTTCTGCAAGGGCCGGCCCGGTGGCGCACTGGATAGTGCGCCGCTTGGGAAGCGCAGCGGCGCTCCCGCCCGAGGGTTCGGATCACACGCACCCAAAAAAAGCTAGTAGGGAAACTTGCCAGAATTTGAACCCAGATCTGCCAAAACTCCAAAGTCAGACCATAATTGTGTCTCCCAGTGTGTAAATAAGCAAAAGAAACAATTAACAGAGTGAAAAGGCAACCTACTGAATGGGAGAAAATATTTGCAAACTATGCACTTGACAAAGGATTAGTAGCAAGAATATACAAAGAAACAAACAACAGAGAAAAAACAACTAACCCAATTTAAAAAGTGGGCAAAATAGCTTAATAGACCTCTCTCAAAGAAAAATATACAAATGGCCAACAGACACATGAAAAAATGCGCAACATTACTCAGCATCAGGGAAATGCAAATCAAAACCACACTGAGATATCATCTTACCCCAGTTACACTGCCTAATTTCAAAAAGACAGAGAATAACAAATGCTGACAAGGATGTGGAGAAAGGGGAACCCTCCTATACTGTTGTTGGGACTTGTTGCGCTCTTCCACCTGCCTGTAATCCTGGCAACTGGGCCAATTGTTGAGCTTGGGCTGGGTCTGGAGCTCATAAACCCCTCAAGCCCGTTCACAGACTGGTCACAAACCCTTCACATGCCAGGCTGGGTCACCAGACCCCTCACATGCAGGTCTATGAGCTAGTTAACTAGCAAAAAGGTCCTTGGAAGCCATGGGTTTGAGAGCATGGCTGCACGGGCAGACACCCGAGGCAGTCAACCCCAGCCAGGGTGGCAGCACTGCACATGTGCACTAACTCCACCCACCTCCCACACACATTTGCTTACAAAGAATGTGCTGCACCACCCCCATCTGGGCAGGTGAGGGGACCTGACTAAATTATCCTATTTTCCCAACAGGACTGTACATTGGTGCAGCCACTATGGAAAACAGTATGGAGGTTTCTCAAACAACTATAGATAGAACTGCCATAAGATCCAGCAGTGCCACTGCTGGGTATATATTCAAAGGAATGGAAATCATCATGTTGAAGGGATACCTGCACTCCCATGTTTATTGCAGCTCTGTTTACAATAACCGAGAAGTTAAACCAACCTCATGTCCATTGTCAGATGACTGGGTAAGGAAAATGTGGCATATTTACACAACGGAATACTACTCTCTCATAAAAAAGAAAGAAATACTGCCATTTGCAGCAACATGGATGAACTGGGAGAAAATTATGTCTAATGAAATAAGCCATGTACAGCAAGAGAAATACTGCAGGTCCTAACTCATAAGTGGGAGCTAAAAGAAAAAAAACAAATTAATAAAAAGAAAGAAAGAAAGATCCAACAATCATAATAGTACACTGAACTTTCAAAAGGAGAGAACAGAACTGATGTTACCAAAGGTGGGAAACAGGGAGGGTGTGGAGGGTAGGGGAGAAACTGGTAAAGGGCCGCGAGAAACAATTACATTGTATAGTGTTGAATATACTAATCATCCTCATTTGAGTATTACATATTGCACGCAGGTATTGATATTCAACTCTGTATCCCACAGATATGCACGATCAACTATGTTTCAAAAAACACAATTTATTAATTTATTCAATTATTTATTCATATCAGCAGCGGACTCATAGATATTTATTTTATATGTCGTATCATAAACCAATGCTATGTTATTTACTTTATTGCTCATATTGCCTCAGCTTTTGTCACTCAAATCTTTTTCAGACTGGACTCCTTTGTTCCTTTAACATGGCACTACAAAATGTTCTAGGCCATCTTGCATATTTCCTTACCTAGCCCTAGAACAGGAGATGAGAGAATAAGAGAACACATACTACAAATTGGTAGTGGATGTTACAGTAGATGAATTAAATCTCAAAACTGCCTCTAATTGGTATGGTGAAATTATATAAGAAACAATACTGGAATGTGAGTGTGAAGTGAGCGTGAAGTGAAGTTGGAGAAGAAACCTTTCATGTTAATCATATTTGAAATGTACATTTTTAAGAACTAGTTGGAGTATATACATGGATTATTCTTGTGTTTCTTGCATATCAAGACAGCAATAAGATTTCGTACAGTACTGCAACTCAGACCAATCCCTAGGATCTTGTCATTTCCTCTAAACTCCAAAGGGCCACAATTACCAAAAGGATGAACACATGAACAACAACAACAAAAACAACAACAGAAAACCTATAAACTTCTTTCAGGAGTTATTTGTTTATGTCTGCCTCCACCTTCTGCATTGAGCTTGATAATGGTCAAACCTTATTTCTCTCCATCTTCCCAGCTCACTGCTGGTACACAGGAGCTTAGGAAATCAAACCCTCCCATCATTCAAATTTGAGTGCTCTGTTGTTCAGCCAAACAAAGTGCATGGACAGCTTCCTGAAATGCACCGTCTTTTCCAGTTTCCTTCCATTTGTTGATGCCATTCTGTTCACTCAAATTGTCTTGTCTACTAACACTTATCTCTTGAAATCCTACACATTTCATGAGGCACCACTTTAATCCTAAACCCACTCATGAATTTTCCCTGAATATTCACTTCACCTTTTCCTCTCCTGAATTACAAGTTAATTTTCCTGAATTTTTTATTCCTGTCTTCCATGCTATCGTTGGGACTTTTTTTTTTAGTGCACTGGTTATATCTCCTTTTCAAGGGGAGGTTCTGAGTTGTCCTTATCAATCCATTCCTTAGTATGTAGTGAGTGTTCAATCTCTGGTTAAAGAAAAAATGAGTCAGGAAATGGGCAACGAGCTTTATTAGAATTTGTTTTAAGGTCATTCTAGGTATCAAAAAACCAGGAGGTAGAAGATCTCATCAACTTACTTTATTGTAACAGGTTGAGAAATAAACAAAGTGCAAATTATACTTGATTTATGTAGAATTTATCTTGGGGTTTGAGGAAGTTTCAATCACTGGATAATAGTCTTGAGGAAGAGTCAGCGCATATGTTAGTGGCTTTGGACGAGGTGGCCTTGTAATTTTTTTACGTGCTTCCAGTTCCCTGATACTGAGGCAACAATATCTCCCATTTTGACATAGTACCTCACGTACTTCAGTTATTTTGCAGATTTTCCTGCAGTTTCCTTGTACATAGTTACCCCAACACTTTTTAAGTTGTTCAGTTACTGTGCACAGAAAAGAAAAATAGTCCAAAATTAGTATCTGAGACTGAAGGCAACTTTGGTTATGGGGAAGGCAGAGGAGGCTTGTTAGGAACTAGGTGTATGGGATATCCATGAGGTATATCTTTATAATATTCCAAAGAGGATTCTCCAACAAGGTGAACCTCAGTGTTTATATTTAACTGGATCCCTCATATTGAGGTCCTCCAAGGTTGTGAGACTACCTCCTACATCTGATAGACTCTGCCAAGAACATCAGATCTTGTTTGAGAAGATAAAGGAGCTGAATCCTTGATGTTAGGCTATGGAACTACGCTTCCTCTGGGAACCTCAGCAAATCTGCCTTCATTCTGAATGCTCCCAAGAAACTATTTCCTTACTAGTGCCCGATCTCTGATGCCCAGAGAACAATAAATTGTTACTATGCATTTATATCTGAGTCAAAATATGCTCTTGAGTTCATTCCCACTACCATGGTCAAGAATGACTTTCTTGTTATTCAGTCAGCTATCTTTTTCTCTCAATAATCTTCCTCCCCTATTTAATATCAGCATTGTACACTTCTGCCAATGCATGTCTTCCTTTGACTTCTATGTCATTACAGTGATCTGGATATCCTTCTAATTCTTGGGCTTGTTTTATCCCTCCATGATTCTTCATTCTCCCTCCACCTTCAGAAGAAAGAATTCCTCCAATATTCACAACCAGACCTTTGTTCACCTTAATATACATTTTTTACTTTAGTAATACCTTCAATGATCTAAGAACTGGTGTATTCAGATTTTGACTTCTGAGTTTTTACTCTTCCCTGGACTGGACCCCAAATGATGAAGACTGAGAACAAAGATGATCCCTCCAGCCCCAGGTTATAGAACCCCTTTGAGTCTTAGATATTTGGGGGGCTAGAGGTAGACCATTACTGTTCCTATAATAAGGTACAAATATAAAAGATTTGGTTTTGAAAAAGGAAAGGAAACTTTAATTTTTAAGTTCTTAGTAAGTACCAAGTTCTATGTTAGCTGCTTCACATATGTTATATCATTTAATAAAACCTCTGTGAGGCAGGTGTCATGTCCACAGATGAGAAAACCTAGGCTCATAGAGTCTTCAGCATTTATTCAAAGTTAAGAAACTTGTAGATATTGAAGCATGTTTCTTAAACCCGACTCCAAAGTTTATGTTTCTTCCACTATTCACAAACTGTAGTATAATAAGATAAAATATATATTTAAGTGGAAGAAAATATGGCTGTGTGTTAGAGTAAAAACTGTATACAAAGGAGTAAGGCTATCCTAGATATCGGGCTCATTCCTTTCTATAATAAGGCCATCCCAGAGGAAATTATGACTTCTTTTTTCATCTCCGTGAGTACTTTTTAAGGACAGTGCCATGGTAGAAGTCCCCAGAAAGAGAATTTCTGATGACTTTTGATAGACTTCAGCCATCTCTGAGGGGCCTACTTCCCCTACTGTAGATTATAAAATTCCCTCAGGCACTGAGAAATGCTCCACCCCCTTGTTGATTTGAGTGAGATCCTGGAAAGCTCTGGGTTACCTGTGGGTTTCTGGAACAGCAGTATTGCAATGATCAGTAAGAGCTTCATGGCCAGGCTTCCCAGAGGAGGTGAGAGCCAAAGCTCTTGGTCCAGTGAACTGCACACTATGTCACCTTTCTCTGAGTCTTGGATTCTTATGCACTGAACCAGAACAGTGATGTAATATAAAGTGTGCCCCCATACTTCTGAATTATGGTCTTTGCATCCCGTGGGCAGACACAGGAGATTTGAGGTCACCACTTTACTCCCACATGGAATTCAGAGACACAGCATGTTCCATCCCGTCACACCTGATGTTATTTTGTGGGCTGTGGACTGCTGATAGGAAGAATCTGTGCTTTCCCTACTTTGGCTGTCTGCCCAGCTGGACTAATGTACACATGTATGCACCTCTGAGAATGAATAAGGAGATATAAATCAAGACATAAACCCCCAAATCCAGCAAGAAGAATCCCTAGAAGTTTGGCCATAGCAGGTTTCTTTCATATTTGGAAGAAGACAGTACAGATATTTTAACAGACTTGATCATGCAGAAAAAATAATTAGCAAACTGAAGGACAGGTCATCTGAAATTAGCCAGTTAGTACCTCATGTTCTCACTCACATGTGGGAGCTAAAATAAAACAAAACCAAATAAAAAACAAAACAAAACAAAACAAAATTAATAATAATGAGCTGAACTGTTAAAAAGAGAGGGAAGAACTGTGGTTAGTAGAGGTGGGAAAAGGGAGGGGGAGACAGTGAGAGGTTGGTTAATGGACACAAAATTACAGCTAGATAGGAAAAATAAGTTCTATTGGTAAACAGTTGACCCAGGAATCTATAATTAACAGTGATTTGCTGCATGTTATCAAACAAGTAGAAGAGTGGAAGTCAAAGGTTCACATCACAAGAAAATGATTACATTTTATAATGATGAATATGCTAATTACCCTGATTAGATCATCATACATTGCATACATGTATCAAAATATAACTCTGTACCCTATAAATATGTACAATCAATATGTTTTGATAAAAAATAATTTAAAAAAGAAATTTGCCAGTTAAAGGGAAAAAAATTTAAAAAAACATTGAAAGAGACTGAAGAAAGCATAAAGGATCTATCGGACACATCAAACATAAGAATATACAAATTATGGGAGTGCCCAAAGGAGAAGAGAGAGACAAAGGGGAAGTAAACTTACTTTAAAAATACTATCTGAAAACTTCCCAAATCATGGAAGGGATATGGCGATACAGATTTAGGAAGCTCAAAGGACCCCAAACAAGATAAATTAAAAAATGAATACTTTGAGACACATTATAATGAAATTGTCAAAAGTCAAAGAGAGAATACTGAAAGCAGCAACAGGGAAAAAACTTACCACATATAAAGGATTTACCATAAGGCTATCAGCAGACTTCTCAACAGAAACCTTGCAAACCAGGAGGAAATGAGATGATATACTCAAATTGCTAAAAGAAGAGAATTGCCAACCATGAACATGGCAAAGTTGTCCTTCAGAAGTGAAGGAGAGATACAAACATCCCAAGGCAAATAAAAGCTAAGGGAGTTCATCACCATGAGACTGGCCTTATAGGAAATGCTAAAGAGAATTCTTTGAGTTGTAACAAAAGGAATATAGATGCAAAAATTCTCTACAAAATACTAGCAAACTGAATTCAACAGCACATTAAAAAAAGCATTCATCATGAACAAGAGGGATTTATCCCCACAATGCAAGGATGCTTCAACATATGCTAACCAGTAAGTGTGATACACCATATTAACAGAATGAAGGAAAAAAACATATTATCATCTCAGATGCAGAAAAGGCATTTGACAAAATTCAACATTCTTTCATGATAAAAACTCTCAATAAATTAGGCATAGAAGGAATAGGCTTCAAAACAATAAAATCCACATATAAAAATCCCACAGCTAACATCATACTCAATGGTGAAAGCTGAAAGCTTTTTCTTTAAGATCTGGAACAAGACAAGGATACTCATTCTCACCACTTCTATTCAACGTGCTATTGGAAGTTCTAGCCAGAGCAATTACACAAGAAAAAGAAATAAAAGGCATCCAAACAGAAAAGAAAGAGTGATATTTTCTCCATTTGCTGATGAAGTGATCTTATACATAGAAAACCCTAAAGATTCCACCAAAAAATTGTTAGAACTGATAAACAAATTTTGTAAAGTTACAGGGTATAAAATCAACACAAAAATCAGCAGTATTTCCATACACCAACAACAAGCTCTCTGAAAAATAAATTAAGAACTCAAGATCATTTATAATAGTATAAAGAATGAAATACTTAGAGTAAATTTAACCAAGCGTGAAAGATATGCATACTGAAAACTATAAAAAATTAATAAAAGAAATTGCAGGGCCGGCCCGGTGGCACACTGCTACAGTGCACTGCTTGGGAGTGCAGTGGCCCTCCCGCCGAGGGTTCGGATCCCACATACAGACCAGTTCCCGCTCACTGGCTGAGCGAGGTGTGGGTGCGACACCGAGGGTTGCGATCCATTGCCGGACACGAAAAAAGACAAAAAAAGGAAAAAAAAAAAAAAAGAAATTGCAGATGACACAAACAAATGGAAAGATATCCAGTATTCATGGATTGAAAGAATTAATATTATGTCCACAATTCCCAAAGTGATCTACAGATTCAATGCAATTCCTATCAAAATTCCAATGCCATTTTTCATGAAAATAAAAAAAACAAGTTTAAAATCTGTTTGAAACCACAAAAGGCCTTGCATAGCCAAAGCAATATTGAACAAAAAGAACAAATCTGGAGGAATTAAATTATCTAACTTCAAAATTTATTACAAATTTATAGTAACTAAAACACAATGGTACTGGCATGCCTTAAGCCATCCAGTTTGTGGTAATTTATTGTGGCAGCCACAGGAAATGAACACATTCATGGTGTACGAGGCACTCCAAAAGTTTGTGGAAAAATAGGATTAAAAGATAATATGAATCTTTCCATGAAATTTTTGAAATACCCTCAGATAGTCTTTTTATATGTGCCTGAATTGGTTTTCATTGAGAACTTTCTATATTCATAGGAAATATTGGTCTGTAGTTTCCTTGTGATTTGTTTGCATGTGTTATCAGAGTAATACACCAGAGAATGGCATGGTAAGTGTTTCATCTTATATTTATATTTTTTTGAAAGAGTTTGTGAAGGATTGATATTAATAACTAATATTTGGTAGAATTTACCAGTGAAGACATCTAGGCCTGAACTTTTCTTTGTGAGAAATTTTTTGAGTACTAATTCAATCACTTTACATGTTATAGGTCTATTCATTTAAAAAATTTATTTGAGTCAGTTTGTATCTTTCTGAGAACTTGTTTATTTATCTAATTTATTGGCATACAGTTATTCATAGCATTCCTTTATAATATTTTTTATTTCTGTAATGTTGGAAGTTATATCTACTTTTTGTATTAGTCTGCTAGATACTACAGACTGAGTGGCAATAGAAATTTATTTTCTTCAAGTTCTGGTGGTTAGAAGTTCAAGGTTAAGGTTCTGTCAGGGTTGTTTCTAGTGAGACCTCTCTTCCTGGCTTGTGGATGGTTGCCTTCTTACTGTGATCTCACATGGTCTTTCCTCTGTGTGTGCATGGAGAGAGAAAGAAAGAGCTCTGGTACATCTCACTCTTATAAGGACACCAACCATATCAAATTAGGGTCATACTTTTTGACCTCATTTAACCTTAATTACCTCCCTAAAGACCCTATCTACAAATACAAGTGTATTTCAAAAGGATCATAAAAAAATAAGTTAAAGATAATGCAAATCTTTCCATGAACTTTTTGAAGTACGCTTGTTCAGTCACATTAAAGGTTAAGGGTCGGGGCTTCAACATAGGAATTTTGGGAGGAAGGCTACAATTCAATCCATCACATTTTTCCTTCCTTATTTTGTAATTTGAGTCTTCTCTCTTTTTGTCTTGGTCAGTTTAGCTAAATGCTTGCCAACTTTGTTGATCTTTTTGAAGAAT